TCTGCTGCTTTGCCATCAAAGCCCCGTGGTGGCCGTCTGAAACTCTGGAAGCCTCTGAACCTGAGCGCGCCCCCCCCCTGCATGTCTGCATGCTTTGAGCTTTGCGTCGCTGCCTTGCCGGTATGCGCTTGTCTAGTTGTCTGGCACTCTGGCCTCGCTTGGGCGCTGCTGCTGCTTCCTACTCTGCGAGCAAGTAGCGGACACGCCCTGGGCTGACGGGCCTGTTGCGGAATGTGAGATAGCGAGAGGGCGATGCGCAGGGGGCCCTGCCCGGTGGCCATTGGTTTCAGGGTCACCGGTTGTGGCGCGCCGTGCGTGCTGCCGGCTGTCACGCCCGCTGCTTCTGCTCTGCAACAGCCCGATGCATTGTGGTCGCCAGCCAGCCAGTTAGCAAATTCAGCTTGCCTTACCACAGCCTATGTGCAAACGTTTGACCAGATTTGGGAACCAAATTCACTGTTTTGGTTCGCTACTCTGCAGCTTCATCAGTAATCAGAATTCAGAACCAGCAAGGCAGTCCACTGGCCGAATTTTGGTTCTGCGTTTGCCCTGCTTCGGTTCTGCCTGCGTCCCCTCCGAGAACCACTAGGAGTAGCTCAGAGCTTGTTTGCTCTCTTGTACTACACTCGTGATGAATCTTGCCCTGTTCGCTGGTCCGAAATTTGGCTGAAATTGGTTGAAAAACACTGTTCTGGCTGAAAAAAGAAGCCGAACAAGCCGAATATGGGATGAGCCGAACAGGACCTTGTCACTACTCGGAGGCTTTGGTGGATGTGTAGCAGCAGTGTATATTTCGTATTTTAGCCTTTTTCATACTATTTTTCATGCAAATATACCATTGGTGAACAAACACTATTGTTGAGGAACAAATTTCTCGCGAATATTGAAACCTTTTTTTTTGGTAAGCTGAAACAAATTCCTCCAGAAGCTTGAACAGTTTTCAAACCATCTTTGAACATTTTTCGTGTGTTTGTTTTGCGGGTTGAACTGGGATATCCTCGATCCAACCTAGATGGTCTGCTGTTTGGTTGAGGAGCTACGTGGGTTTGGGTCGGACCCAGGAGCGAATATGGCTTTAGATGCGGGTTCTCGTGATCCCTCCAAATCGGGCGGATTAGCTCGACCACGATGAACGGCGTCGCATTCGTCGTCTCCATCTCCATCCCTTGGTCGCGACTTCCACCGTCCCCGGCACCGGCGCTCGCGGATCTGCTCCTCCAGATCTGGGCGAGGAGCGACAGGGGAGGAGCTGGCCGGGCAACGGCAAGGGAGGAGCTCCTCCGGTGATCTCGGGCTTTGGGAGGTGGCGGCGTGTCGTCGTGGGCGCGGGCGCGAGGGGAGGTGCTGGCGGGGCCTATGCAGGGAGGCTGTGGCCACCATGGCTGCCGGGGGCTATGCGCGGCGGGGAGGTGGTGGCCGCCATGGCCGCCGAGGGCTCCGTGAGGCATGGAGGCGGTGGCCACCGGGGCGGTGCTGAGAGGTGGTGGCCATGGCGATGTGCTGGAGCTCGGGCTGGGGTACGAGTGAGTAGAGGAAGAAGATGATGGGAAAAAGGAAAATAAAGAGGATGACAGGTGGGACCCACTAATGGTACTGTTAACGTTGTCAAAATGGTATCCATTTCATCCCTCTCCAACCTTGCAACCAAACAAAAAAACTAGGTTCAACCTAACCTCTTAACCAAACACGAAATGGGTTCATCCCATAGATGGCCAACGGCCTGGCCCGGCCCGGCACAGCACAGGCCCGTGCCAGCACGGCCCGATAGCCAACGGGCTGGCACAGCACGCCGTGCCTCCCGGGCCGTGCCTCACAGGGCCACAGGCCTGGCCTTCGGCCCAGGCACGGCCCTATGGGCCGATTTCCGTGCTGGGCCGGGCCGAGAAGCACAGCCATTTTCACAGGCCGTGCCAGCCCGTGGCCCACTGAGTCGCTGGGAGCAGGCAGGGTCGCCGGGACGTAGGGGTCGTGGAGGAGCGGCGGGGCTCGAGGCCAGCCACCGCGCGGGGCCTTGGGGGAGGAGGGCGGCTGCCGGCGTGCTCGAGGCCGGCGCGTGCGCCGCAGCCACGTGGGGAGGCGAGGAGGTGGCCGCCGGATCTGCCCACCCGGACGCTCCTAGCCGTGCGCCGCCGAGGGAGAGTGAGGGAGGGAGGCAGGCAGGGACGGGGAGGAGGCGTCGCGCCAGCGTCGAGGCAAGGGTGGGGAGCCGGATCCGCGGTGGAGAAGACCCAGCGTGGCCAGATCTGGTTGTGGCGGGATCGAGGAAGGAGGCAGCGCGAGGCTGGAGATGGCAGTGGCTGCCGCCCGCCGACGAGCTTGTCTTGGCACCGGATCTGCGTCGGGGCGGAGCTCGGGGCCAGGGCGCTCGCTCCCACAGTGGCATCGCTCGAGGAGAGGGAGGGGAAGGGTGCGTCGGTGTCCGCGCTCGGCCGTCGGCGCTGCGAGGAGAGGAGAGGTCGTGCGAGGAGCCGAGGACACCGAGGAGAGGGAGAAGGCATCCTGTACTCCCGGTCCCGCGTCCGCTCTCGCTCGCCTCGCCCGACGCGAGGGAAGGGGAGGGGGCGTCCGCGGCGCCGTCTCTAGGGTTCGGGCGGTGAGGGAGAGGGAGAGCCGCCGCGGGCGTGCTCGCTTATATATGAGGGGGGAGGCGGGCCGGGGACGGTGGGGAGCGCGTGGGCTGTGCTGGGCCGTGGGGAGGGGAGGAGGGGGAGGGGGAAGGCCGGGCGACGGCACAAGCCTCCCGGCGACTAGCCTCGCTTCGCTTCGGCAGAAATTTACCTTTATCTTGTACATAACTGAATTTGGATCACAACTCAACATCAATACCATTCCATCTAATGTTCAGATATTACAAGTGTTGTGGAATTCACACTTGAGTCGCTTGAGACGTGCAACCGTGCAGCCTCTCGGCCAAAAACAAAGTAGCCTGTGATGGCTCATTTTTCTTTTGCAATTGATGTAGCAGTGATCTCGAATACAACCCTTAAAAATCAATTTTGACCACGTAAAAAAATCGTTTATGTTGTAGTGAAAACTGCCTGACTCACTTGCAGGGCCTGGACAAAAGAAACTTAAAGTCTTGTGCTGTTTTTTTAAAACAATTTCTAGTGGTAGTCATGAAATTATTTTTAGTGGCAATCAATGTGTTTACGTCCAGAGTTTTCTCCATCGGCTTCTGGAACTATTTGCGGCCGTTTTATGCCAAACAGGGTAAATGAAAACCGCTCTACCCATGGAGCCCCTTATAACGCTGGGGAAATTCCTTGTGTGCCATTAAAAAAGATCGCAATGCCATGTGTGCCTCTGAAAAAGTTCAGCGGTCTTCAGCGCCACTGTACTAACTTTTTTGTGCCCTCCATGCCACTGCCGTCAGTTTGGGTTTTAACGCCGTCAAACTGCAGGTGTGAAAAGTCGAAAATACCTTTATGTCTAAATATGTCATTAATTTTTTTGAGCATCTTAACGACTTCAAATGAAAAAACTCAAAACTAGAAAGTTGTAGATCTCATCGAGATCTATAATTTTTATATAAAAATTATTTTCATTTAATTCCGCAAAAAAAAAAGATATGATTTTTCTAAGATATATTAATCATATTAAATCATATTTTTTACGGAATTAAATTAAGATAATTTTATATGAAAATTATAGATCTCGATAAGATCTACAACTTTATAGTTTTGAGTTTTTTCATTTGAAGTCGTTAAGATGTTAAAAAGAAATAATGACATATTTAGACATAAGGGTATTTTTGATTTTTTACACCTGCAGTTTGACGGCGTTAGAGTCTAAACTGACGGCAGTGGCATGGAGGGCACAAAAAAGTTAGAGCAGTGGCGCTGAAGACCGTTGAACTTTTCCAGGGACACACAGGGCATTGCGATCTTTTTTAATGACACACAAGGAATTCCCCCATGTTGTCTCACAAGGGATAGATGGAAGATGGAGCTAAAAAAAATAGCTTCACCTAGCTCCAACTCGCTCTGGTGAGCCCTGCGTGAGATTCTGTCATAGCATATTTTAAGTATCTCCACATGTGAAATTGATTTGCTAAATGGTTCATCACAAAAGCTTCAGCTCTACCGGTAGAGCTGTTCGTGGAGCTAAAGTAAAAAGAAAAATAGCTTCACCGGTGAAATGGAGCTATGTTTAACGAGGCATTTTTGCTTTATGCGGCTCAAGATTGATTTCTAGGTGTGTGTACTTTGCCATCCTCTAAAAATAAAAATATGTTTTTTTTGCCTACCTCTAAAAATAAAAATATGTTTTTGGGGGGTGCATAGCTTTTTTGTCATAAAAAATTATTAGTCTGAAAAAGTCTGAGTCTTGATATACCTAGAGAGTATATATTAACACATAATCGGCAGAAATTCTCACCATTTTCAAACGTCTGTAGTATAATTGGTGCAAACGTATCTATCTATGGCCAACTTTAATTTGTATCTATCCTATGTAAGAAGCAAAATTTATTTCTTTCAATTTCTGGTCTGCCATCTCACTCTCTACCACACGCCTGTCCATCAATCACCTCTACATCTCTCGGTTGATCACTTTCTAAAACATGTGCAATTAGAGTCCAATCGGGAGTCATAGAGAAAAAAAAGGAAAAATAGAGTCCGACCAGGACAAAAATATTTCCGTTTGTTCCTCAGCCCTCCCGAGCGCAAAAGTCCTGGTCAGTTTTACTGAGAGCAGTAGTAACTGATAAATTACAGATAAGAGTTCTAATTGAATTACTGTTCTGTCCGTGACTTAAACTCACACCCGTGCTTATATACAGATTAGCAGCCTGTTTATGTTGGCTGATTGGTATTGTTGCTGATTCATTTATGTGAGAGAGAAATACTGCTGGCTGGTTCATATGAATAGTATTCATGTGAGGGCGGGTGTAGAATAGCGCGCGTGTCTGATCACACTGTAGAATCCAATTCCCAAACATATTGAAATAGATGACGCAAGATATACATTCCGTGTTGCAAATCGAATGGAGCATGTATTAACTAATTAGCACTGATGTTTGGAGGGGACGTCATCGTCATCGTCATTGACGACGACTGAGTCAAGCTGGAGGACGTCATCCCTGATGTGGAAGCGGTGTACGAGAAGATTCCCTCCAGCGAGGCCACCAGCGGCGCGTAAGTCGGCACGGGCATCTTGGCAGGCAGCGCCGGCACGGGACCATTGGACTGGAGAGCGGCCATGGCTTCTCTGACGGACGGCCGCGCTCGTGGGTCAGGGTGCGCGCACCAGAGCCCGACGGCCACGACGCGCTCCGCCTCCGCCGCGTCGTACTCGCCGTTCAGCCGCTCGTCGGCCGCCGCGAGAGCGGCTCCTCTGCCGTACAGGTCCCAGGCCCACTCGACCAGCCGGAACACGTCGTTCCTCTGGCTGACGCCACCGCCCAGCAGGCTCATCGGCCTCCTCCCTCACGCGACCTCCAGCACGACGACGCCGAAGCTGTAGACGTCGGACTCGGCGCTGGCTTTGCCGGTGATCAGGCTCTCGGGGTCGACGTACCCCGGCGTGCCGGAGACGGCGGTCATCGTCCGCATCCCGACGGCGTGGTCGATGAACCTGGAGAACCCGAAGTCGCCTAGCTTGGCGTTGAAGGTCTCGTCCAGCATGACGTTGCTCGGCTTCACGTCGCGGTGGACGACGCACTGCTCCCACTCCTCGTGGAGGTAGAGCAGTGCGGACCCAAGCCCAAGGACAATCCTGATCCACATCGGCCATGTCAGGAAGGTGCCGCCGTTGCTGTGGAGATGGACGTCGAGGCTGCGGTTGGGCACCAGCTCGTAGACGAGCATGAGTTCGTCGCGGCCGTGGCACCAGCCGACGAGCTGCACGAGGTTCCGGTGGCGGAGCCTGCTTATCAACCTTGATCTCCGACTTGTACTCCTTTCTCCCCTGCGTGGAGGATCCTTTAGCGAATCTCTTGATGGCCACGGCGTTGTGATCACCCAGGTGTCCTCGGTACACGGAGCCGAAGCCACCTTGCCCGAGCTTCTCCTCCGGCGCGAAATTCTTCGTCGCAGCAACGAGCTCGTGGTACGGGAAACGCCTTGGCCCCGTCCCCATTTCAATCTTCCTGATGGGCTCGTGGCCGCCGCCGCCGTCGTCGTCCGAGCTGCCTATGTTCTCCTCACCAAACTCCTGTGCCATCTCCAGCTCCCTCCTCTTGCTCCGACGCCGTCGTGCGAGGAACGCTGCCAAAGCAAAAACTGCCACGACGAACACCGCCGCGGAGCCGACGCTGGCTCCTGCTATAACTCCAGAACCCGAGGTGCTGGGGGTCGTCTGCAGCGGCGGCGGTGGCACATCTAGTATCGGTGTGGCCTTGGATTCCATGGACGAGTTGTAAGTACCAAGAATACAGCTGATGCAGCTCGACGGATGTGCCCGTCGAGGCAGAGAAACCAACCGAGACGATCTCCGGCAAAGCGCTCTTGAGGTCAACCTTTTGGCTAAGGTTATAACTCATGTTCCTTCCATCGCCCAGCCATAGCTTCAGCTCCAGGACGGTTGAGACGTTGTCGTACCTGACCTCGGCGGTCATGTTGCCGACGAGGCTGAAGCTCGGAAGCACCTCCGTGGCCACGGACCTGATGGAGTTGACGTCGATGCCGAGGTGGTCGTACGTGCTGTGTGGGTCGAGCGCGATGCTGTCGTTGAAGGTGTCGAACTCCACCGCCACGAACCGGCTGTCGCCGGTGGCCACGGCGTCCGCGCTTTGGTTGGTGAGGCCCATGTTGTACGTTTCGGATTTGGATGGCAGGCTGGACGGGTAGCCGGCGAGGAAGAAGGCCATGCCGGCGCCCTTGTTGTTGAGGCCGCCGTACCTGCGCGGTGGGTCGATGACGAAGGAGAAGCGCGTGACGAAGCTGGCCACCTCGCCGGTGTCCCTGTCCCAGAGGCGCATCGGACCGGCGTACGACACACGGCCCCTGCTGTCGTCGATGGCTTTGTCCCAGAACGCTGTCAGGTCGATCCACCCACGGTTGATGTAGGCTTCGCCTTCGATTCTCAAGTCACTGCTGTCATGTGTGCTGAAGGAGGTGTAGTTGAAGAACAAGGCGGTGACGAGAGCCACCGGGAGGTAGCAGACGACGGAGAACAAGATGAGGCCCACGGTGCAAGTGGTCGCCGACCTGGTGATCATGGAGAAGCTACCCGCCATCGCCGGATGCCAGTGCACAAGGGTTCCTAGCTAGATAGATGAGAAACTTGAATTGGGGCAGCAAGTCTACTGGCACGCGTTTGAAGAGGTAGGGTGGCATGTGCAAATAACATGGATAGCTAGAATTTTTCACACTGAAGTTAAAAAAAAGAATTTTTCACACTGTAAATTTTATGTACTATAGTCCACCAACTCGTGCATGCTATCATATTAGATACTCCCTCCCTGTTTTTTATAAGGCACAACTTGATATGGCATGGTTTCCCAAATTAAGATTTCACTATCTATTTATTTTATTTTATTTTATTATTTATACATAAAAAAATTGATGATAATCGGATTGTAGATTTAATTACAAATCTAACCATATCAAGTTTGTGTTATACTAATTAAAAATTGTTAGTTAAATTATTGGTTAAAGATTTTGAAGTTTGAATTCTGATATGCGTATGCGCCTTATAAAAGAGAATGGATGTAGTACAATCTTAGTGGACATGAGCATTAGTTAGTATTTAATACCTCCAACTAATAAAAAAATACTTATGCATATACATATAGGTCTTGTTTGTGAGAGATACTTGGGCTGTTGTGCCCTCATAACTTGGTGAGGTGGAGCTTTGGTGACCTACAAGTGAAGGATTTGGTGGTCTTCTAGGTGTTGACAACGTGGAGCGGTGGCAACTCAATGTGTGTGTGTGTGGTGGTGGTGGGGGGTGGGGGTGGGAAACACATTCCTTCATTGTTGGACACAACAGCATGGTGGCTGGAAAAATCGCGAGGTGGTGGTAAGACTTGGGACTCATGGCAATTGCCTACTACGGTTGGCAGTGGCCTTATATTAGTGGTAGTTCAACACCGTGACAGGAAGACACTTGATGACCAGGAGCGTATCTAGGTGGAGCTTCGACATGGATTCGGAGTTGTGTTTTGGCAAGCGATATCACGGGATAAATCGTCTCGTCTCTGAGAGTTTGCCCTCTCTTACTCTAACTCTTTACTTATTGTATTTATTGCTTTCGCTTCGTGCTATGCTTTGTGTGACTTTTGCCTCCCTAGACTTGCTATATATGGTAGTTGAAAGGATTGGCTCTATGTTAGACCCTTTTATAGGTTGTGGATAAGCTAAAGCATGCTAAAAAAAATCTAAAATACACATATTATTAGATTTAGTTTATGTTTTTTTGGTAGTAGTTTTTATTAACTTCTAGGACTACGGTTCAAAATTAGGCACCCAGTTCACACTTCTCGGCGCTCACGGAACCTTAAAGACTTCTACGTGTTCACTCGCTCATGAATATACATGTGAGATTTATTAAGGCCTATATAATGTACTTTCTACGTACCAAATTATAAGATGTTTTGATATTTCTTGGTATACAGTTTTCTTTCACAAGCGACACTAGGTATTTAATTTAGGATCTAACGGCGTTTTTCTTTTAGTGATAGATGATGTGTCCATTGTGAAAGGATAAGATGCCCAAGAGGAGGGGGGGGGGGTTGAATTAGGCTATTTCTAAATTTCTTTGCAATAATTAAATCCTACGGTTAGCCCAATTAACCCCTTGTGCCTAGAAAGTGTTTCTAATATTCTACCGCACAAAAAGTCTTGCAACCTAAGTTCCAATCCTACTCTAGCAGGGCAATTCTATGAATGTAAAGACAAAAATTAAATTGCTCAAAGTAAATGCTCAAAGTAAAGAAAGAAGGAGGAACGCGGCGATGTTTTGCCGAGGTATCGGAGAGTCGTCACTCCCCACTAGTCCTCGTTGGAGCACCCGCGCAAGGGTGTAGCTCCCCCTTGATCCGCGCAAGGATCAAGTGCTCTCTACGGGTTGATTCTTTGACACTCCGTCGCGGTAAATCACCCACAACCGCTCACAACTTGAGTTGGGTCATCCACAAGCTCTCCGGATGATCACCAAGCCGTCTAGGTGATGGCAATCACTAGGAGTAACAAGCACGAAATCTCACTTGACCACGACAAACCTAATGAGAAGGGTGGATGCATACTTTGCTACTCTTGCTTTCACTAATGAGGGCTCTATTTGGGATTCACAAATCTTAATCACCTCACTAGGACCTTACTCTTCTTGGCACTCTCAAAGGTGTTTCTCAGCTGTTGGAATGAGCAAAAGTACCCCCACACACGAGTGGAGGAAGTATTTATAATACCGGCTGAAAAACAAACCATTATGTGCCTCTGCGGGGTGACCGGACGCTCCGGTCATGTTGACCGGACGCTCCGGTCAGTTCTCCCCAAACTCCAGTGTTTAAGTTATGACCGAACGCTGGACAACGTCCAGTCAGCACTGACCGGACGCGTCCGGTCATAATTTTCCCTCTCTGGAACCTTACTGGAGTCGACCGGACGCTGGTATCCAGCGTTCGGTCGCTCACCTCTCAGCGTCCGGTCGCGCTAGACGATTTCACCTTGATCAAATGAACTGACTGGACTGTCGACAGAATATCATCGGCAGTCCTCCAAGGGGTATCCCATGAAGGTAGATTGATCGGCAGAGGAGCGTGAGATCAAGAACAAGAAAGCAACAGTGACACACGAGTTAGACAGGTTCAGGCCATCAGTATGACGTAATACCCTACTCTTATGGTCTATTGGTTTGTATTAGCTATCGTATGATATTGCGTGTGTTTGGAGGGGGTCGCTGCCCGCCTTATATAGTCCGGAGAGCATGGTTACAAGTCGGTTAGATCTAAGAGATAACCGGAAAGTAATAACTGATTACAGGAATCTTGGGATTAGACATATTCTAACAGATCTCGTAGTATATTTAGGATATCTTCCAGATGTCTTGCGGGAGGCGTCGAGCAGAGTCGTGCCCCGTAAGGCTTGGTCTTGTGGGCTGCGCCGCCCCTGAGGGCGCAGCCCATGTGGTCTGCCGTGGGTATCCGGGGTCGTACCCCCCACAGCTAGTCTTCGAGCGCCTTGTACCCGTTGTGCAACGCCGTCTTGCGCTTGTCCATGTAGGTACGAACAGAGCCGAGTAGTCAAACTCGTGGTTCGACCACCATGACGAGTTGCCGAGCAGTTGTGAGCAGTTACGAGCAGCGCAAACCATCGTCGAGCAGTGAGGACCATAGCCGAGCGGTACGATCCAAACACGGCTTGCCATTAGGGTGTAAGGAGCTCAAGTTCAGAATTAAAAATTTCCTCGCAGTGGACCAAGTGTGCCCACTTAGAGCCCGACCACGAGAGTAAGAGATAATCTTCTTCAGCCTCAAGGGGCGCGGAGTCTTCCAAAATAAAGTAAGCACATTCACCGCTAGGTGAAGTATGCCCACTTAGTCCCCGAGCCTGACAGTAGATGACGTAGTCATGTGGTGCCAGGGTCCAAAGCAGAAGAAAAATAAAAGACCAGCCGAGCAGGCAGCCAGTCCCCGGCGTAGCCCCGAAAAGCACGTTCACCGCTAGGTGAAGTGTGCCCATTTAGTCCCCGAGCCTGACAGCAGATGACGTAGTCATGTGGTGCTAGGGTCTGAAACAACAGTAAACTTGGAGAAAACATAATCACGTAGAAAAAATTGGAGTAATAGCTATACAGTAGCAAGTACTGAGCCGTAACGATTGGCGGAGATGTCGGCGAACATTCGGCGAGTCGCAACAAATTGCGGAGATAAATTAGCAATATGGGCTGTGGCTGCATGAAGGCCCAGGGAACGGCCCACCAAACCACATCGGAGAATCCGGAGAAACACAGATCGTGGGAATAGTTTCCCAAAAACCCTCGAATGCAAAGGGTAGGGAAAGTGCTTTATAATTGCGCCGCTGCATATACCGTGTTCATACCTTCGCCATTTAGTCATTCTGTCTTCATCCTCAACCCTCACATTTCCAGATTCGCATCCACGCACGCTCCCGACGCCAGTCCCCATCCAGATCTGAGAGATGTTGCTGAAGAGGAGAGCTATGAACCTGAAGAAAGCGAGCCCAAAGAATGCAGGAGCGGGAGCCAGTCGAGACGAAGAGTGGGTGCCGTCGCGCATGGGGGAAACAGAGCTCGAGAGATTGGTGGAGGCGGGCGTGCTTCCTGACCGCGTCACCGCTGAATGGCGGCCAGCCAGTGGTGAGCCCTTCCCAATGCCTAACACAGATGAAGCTGTAGTCTTCGAGGATTATTTCTGGCATGGGTTGGGGTTCCCTGTTCATCCTTTCTTGCGGGATCTGCTAGAGTTCTGGGTGATTAGTCTGTGCAACCTCCACCCCAACACCATATTACACATCTCGATCTTTATTCATTTCTGTGAGACATTTCTGGGGGTTCTGCCACACTTTAACCTCTTTAGACACCTGTTCTGGTTGAAGAAGAAGGGCAGCGGTGGCTCCAAGGTGGTCGACGGCGTATATCTGCAGCTTCAAGATGGAATAGCCAGCGAGTACATTAATGTACCACTGAACACTTCTCTGAAAGGGTGGAACTCCAAATGGTTCTACATGAAACAGAGTCACCCTGCAATCCACTGCGACGTCCACCATATCCCGGAGAACCAGAAGAGTTGGTCGGAGAAACCAAATAGTGCTGACATGGAACAAGTGAGGGAGCTCCTCGACCTGATTAAAGGCATGGAGATTAGCGGTGAACTAGTGGCAGCTAGCTTCATAGTGCGCCGCATCCAGCCCTACAAGGAGAGGGCCCACCCGTGCTTTGACTACAAAGGTGATGATGACGGGACCCAGGAGAGGATGGAGCGGCTGACGAAGAAAAATGTCCTAGAGCGGGACACAGAGTTATTCGCTCCCAATGCTTCATTCAGCTGGCCAAGGCAAACAAGGTCCTTCAATTGCACAAATCCACCTCCTCAGGTAACCATCTCGATTGTTTTTTCTGAGACTTTTAATACTGAAGCATTGTCAAGCAGTGAACTAATTCATTTATGCAAAGATCTATTCGTAGAAAAGAGCGGTGTACTTCTCCGGCATGCCGAGGGGGGTAGACGCCTGGCCACCTATTCGGCTCGAGGAAGATGCGGCCAGCGCCTCGTCA